ACCTCGTCGGTGCCTTCATGAGTGACTTGTAGTTTATCTCATATTTCTTTGGCGATTGTACAAAATGAAACTCTTCCATATTCATCTGGTTCAAGAGCACAAAATATGATATGGATGGCTTTGGAGTTGAGCTGGAACATTATTGTCTCTCCTTCACTCCACAATATTAGATGAGTGAGAGGCTTGATATATCCGTCTTCTACAACATTCCATGCTCCCATGTCACTTGCTTGAATGAAATACATCATCTTATTCCTCCAATAGGCATAGTTAGCTCCATTGAAGAAATGAGTCTTGTTGATGGGCACCGAATCGAGACTGGAGTCGACATTTGAAGTAGAGGTCATTGATGACTTGATAATCGATGTAACTCTTCCCGAATCGACTCAAGAGGCGATTAAACCTTCAAATAAGTGAGGCTATGATACCAATTGTTGAGTTAATCGATTGATGAAATCGTCCAAGAGGGGGGTGAATTGGCAATTAAAATTTTGGTGGAAGTTTTTGCAGAAAATTAAAAAGATTTGCACAACGATTTAGAGTGGTTCGACTTTCTCAACCAAAGTATACGTCCGCTACCTTAGCTATCCACACTAAGGATTTTCCAACAAAGTCACTAATTTGTTCTTTCTTTTGAGGCCAAAGAGATAACCTTACAACTCCCTCAGAATACCCCAATTCTTGAGAACACTCTTTCTCAAAGAGAAGATTACAAATTTGCAAACTTACAAGGAAAACCTCACAAGGTAATATGTTTGCACAATTCTAGAACAAGATAATTACACTCAAAGATGATTACAAATGAGAACAAATAGTGTTCTTGAAAGCAAAATGAATATTAAAAAGAAATTTGGCTTGAATTGCACAAACTTGATGTTTGATGTTTTCTCTCTTGTTTCTCTATTGATTCTTCTTGATTGTTGTTGATAAATGGCTTCTAAACTTGTTTAAATACTCCTTCAAATGATTCTGAACGTTGGGGATGCTTAGTGGAGTCAATAGAGTCGTTTAAGTGTGAAAACAATTAATAAAATCAGTTGGGAGTGTCAGTGCATCGATGCATACCCATGGTGCATCAGTGTAAAATTCAAATATTTTGACCGTTGGACCCTTAGTGCATCGGTGCACTAAGAGTGCATCGATGCATCTTAGTGCACCGATGCATAAAATACATTCGATGTTTCAAAATAGCCAGAGTGCATCGATGTATGGCTTGTGCATCGATGCATCAAATGAACTGATTGCATCGATGCATGGTATATGCATTGATGTATAAAATGCATTCGATGTTCAATGTAATCCATGGTGCATCGATGCATAGATTGGTGCATCGGTGCATCGGTGCATCACTTTGAAAAATTGATTTTAGGCTTGATTTTGGTTCAAAATACTTTGTGAAAATTGTCTTAAAAATAGTTTAAGTATAAAATACAATTTTACACATTTAGTAAAGTTTGAAATTGATCTTGAAAGACTTGGAGTAATATTTTGATATTCGATTAATTAAATCGAATACACTTAGAAAATCAATCTTAAAATTCATTTAAACTTAATTTGTTATATCGAAACATCAAAATGTTTTCAACACTTAAAATACAGAATCACCCTCAAACTGAACACCATATGCAATTCCCCATAACTCTATTCATAAAGACTTACCCTAATCCTAAAAGGCGTAGGTTCCAACCTAAGGAAGCACCTTGGATCCATAAGATCTTACCCTAGTCGAAGTGTAGGTGTCCACCTAAGGGGTGTGCCCTCAAGCCCATAAGGACTTACCAAATGCACATAGCAGAGGTGTCATAAATGAATACCTTAGGGTTTATAAGGTCTTACCACTAGGCCCGTTGGGCCCAAGAGCCCACCCTAGGATTACCTTATGTCCATAAGGAATTACCAGTTGATCGATGCTGAACCTATATAAGAAATTATCAGCTTGATCAGAACTGAACCTACAGAGACTTATTACCAGATCCAGAGCACCCCGAAGAAAATAGTTTTCAGAAAAATCAGAGTTCAGACATAAATTAATTCAGTAAAAATAGTAAACAGATAACATAATCAGACAACCATGCTTAAAACTTTCAATAAATCAGATATCAGACTTGAAATAGATAAATCATACGAAATCAAGTCAAAACAGATAGTCACATTGCAAATCAAACAAAACAGTCATGTGCACATGATATTTCATACATATATTTAAAACAGGTATATGGCACACAAGGAACACTCCTCGCAAAAAGAATCAGTTCGGGAGATCTATTGAGGACCAACTTCACTACGATCTTTGATTGTATGCGAACCTAGGTCATATCAGAACAAGGTTATTATCAAAGTAGTACACTAAACTGAGTATCTAACAGAGTTGTAGAACTATATGAGTAATCACAGGATATCGCGATCGAGCGGATCGAGAGGAACTGAGTCGAGCAGACGAACGATCAGGATAATCATGGGTACCTTAAATATATGATAACATAAATTAGTCCTCGCCCCTAAACTAAATTAAATACACTTAGATTAATCTCTTAAATGAATTACTTAAATTACATATGTATATTCAGGTTTATAGGTCAATTCAGATACTTTTGGGTTCAAATTTTGTAAAATCGAAAAAACATAAAATATGACTTTTTAGAAAATTTGACTTTTTGGTCAAAGTCAAAGTTAACTCTAGTCAAATTCAATGGTCAATTCAAAGTCAATGGGTCAGGCCGGTTTAGGTATTCAACTCGAACCGATTCTAGGATGTTCTTAGGTCGATGAGGAGCCCCATGCGTACGCGTCGGCAACGGGGTTGAGTGTGGTAGTTGATTACTCCAAAATCACCCAATCATCATTTACAACACCAATTATCCCAAAACCCATCCAAAAACCACAACAAAAATCGAATAAAAGCATTTGAAAGCTTACCCACGGCGGACGATGAGAACGACGATCCCGGTTGGGTTTTGGTCGGACAACGACGGGGAGTTCAGTGGCTGCGATGGTGACGCGAGTGAACGATCATGGCCGTAAAAAATGAGATTAACTGAGGTAATATGGGGTTTCGACGAAACCTTAAATGCTCATCCACGACGAACGACGAGCGTTTAGCATCGGTGATTGGCTGGGGTTGCTTCGCGATAGCCTGACACTTCGATTGGAGGTGTCGGAGTCGCTCATCGATGAATGGTGATGGATGAGGGGTGGTGAGGATTTCGAAAGCCTTTGTTCTCAATTCAGGCCAAACAGTTGTCGATTCGGGGTTGTTAACTATTAGAGACGGGTTATGGGAGGACGTCGGTTCGATTGGTGACGATGAAGCATAGAAACGACGGCCGGAGCATGGTGGATCGATGAAGGGGTTGGCTAGGGATTTGGGGGGAAATTAGGGAACTTGGGGTTTAGCTGACGCTGGGAGGTTTCTATTTGGGTATTTTTAACCCAGACATAACCCTTTAAATTTTTTTATTATTATAATAACCAACAATGACTTAGGCTAGATGGTAGAGGCATGGACGACCATGTTGTAGGTCACGGTTCAAACCAACTTAACTACCAGTTTCTCATTTTTTTTAAATTTTCTCTACCGACTCAAAAGGGAAAATTAAGGGCCAAGTCCCTTAACTTCCTAGATTTTTGAAACTAGACCAAAATTTTTAAAAACTTACAGTTTAGTCCATAAAATCAATTAATTAATTATAAAGTTTTACTTTTTTTATTTTTAAAATGGGTTTGTGACAGTTTTGGTCGGTGGAAGCAATCCTCAACGTTTTACAACTTTACGGGTGTACTTTTCCCTACTGAACTAAGCTTAGAATCATTCTCCCCGGGGTATTTGGATGCCGAATTCAATAATTTCAGACCCACCGTTGTTGCTCTGAAGTCGATGTCGACGATCAGATGCTGTGAGAAATTGACAGTTCAAGTGATTATCGCAGGGACATTAACCATAAATTTGGTGTCGGTGGCAATCAGGGCCGGTCCAATGAATTTTAATGTCATGGGCGAGATAATAATTTTATGCCCCTACCGTATAGTAGACAAAACATATGAAGAAATTATATGGTATGACAAGTTCTGTTCTTTCTCCATAAAAGCCAATCATTTTACTGTGAATTCAACTTGAACTCACGTCTAGAGTTAAAAACAATGATGATAATTTTTTTCGGACAAGAATGGTGAAACAACAAACTGGTTTTCATTTGAGTTTGGAGAACCATAAACAAGCCTCTTGGTAGATTCCTGAACTGTTCCCCAAGCAAGACCAACTTCTAATGAAGCAAAGCTTTTGATGTTAAACAAATAACTAGTTATAAAAGTAGCAACAAAGGAACATATAATTTATCAGTAGCAATAAATGATAAAACATTAAAAGAAATACACGCAGTTTACCCAAATGCTCTAGAAAATGGAGTAGCGGGAACCTTCCTTTCTCTTGGCCTCCGTCTCTTCGCAGGTACTGACGCATCTGCTGCTGCTGCCCTGGGCCGTCGCCTATCAGGCACATGTATTGAGCCGGCCCTGGTGACAATGGTGTCACTGGCTTTCAACACACATTCGTTCTCGATGAATGAAAGGTTGCTTGTAATGGACAACGACAAGATGACAGCTTTGGGGAAATCAAGGTATAGCATTGAAGTGACGACGCCAAATTCCGGTAACTTTGCGCCTGCTGGGTGTTGTCTTCTGTTTGTGGTTCGTCTAGACATACCCAGCCACGGCATTTGGGTGAAGTTGCAATAAAACAAAGGGTAATTCATTCAAATGCCCAAAATAATAATTAATTTTGATTAATGTGTTTACTTTGACCATGTTGTAATGTTGTCCTCTAGAAAACAAACAAATTTATTTACAATTTAATGTTTCGGTCAATCAAGAAAGAGGATCATTTTTGTAACTGTTTCAAAATTTTAATAATTATATTGAAAATTTCAAAATTTTAGTGATCAAAAAGATTATTTAAGAATAGTTTAGTGACCATATGTGTACTTTACCATAAATTTCTTAGCTTGGCCCAATGGAGTACCGTGGCTAAATTTTTGGCTATTGGAGCTCTAAAGAGAGCAAAAAGTCTTTTCTGCAGAAAACAACCCACTCTGCTTTTGGCGTGAAGAAGAAGATGGAAGGTAGCAGTGGGAAAGGCTACGCCTGGGCAATCTCAGCTGGTTTCAATGCTGCATGCGCTGCCATTTCAGCTAAACTCTTGTTCCCTCTGGTAACTTTCTAATCACCCCAAGTTTCTTCTACTCCAATCACGGATTTTAATTTCGCTTGCTATTCGTTTTCTTTTTGTTCCATTTGCATATCCTAAATCTTACTTCTCTTTGTAAATTACCCATTGGTTTTTCCCCCATGGATTTGCAAATTATCCCATGGTTTAATTGTAATTTTGAAATGATAATTGATCTTCAGTCGAATTTCTCTTTGAATATTTTGCAGGTAATTAGATACGGACTAGTCGTAATTTTCAACGTCATGATGTGGGGATGTTATGTTAACAGCTTGAAAGCTCTTTCGTCTCTTCAAGCAACCGTTACGAATTTCGCTACTAATTTCCTCACTTCTGGCCTTGCCGGTTTCTTCTTGTTTGACGAACTATTAGCGATTAAGGTAACCCAATAAACCAAATTATGAATTGATATTTGAATATCTTAACAATTGCCGACAAGTAACAAGAACAGGGTTTAGAACCAATGAACTGTTGTTTAAGACTTTAAAGGATTAGTTAAATGTTTATGTCATTTAGTTTGCAACATAAACTTATAATCATTTGTGTTATAATTGTAGCCACTTGGCAAAAACAGAAGCTTGGAAATGGGAAAATTTTCAGTTAGACTTTTGCTTGTCTGCTATTTTTGGTGGTATGGAAGTTTCATAATGCATACTGAAAATCATTCTAGAAGAATTGAAGATTTTTCGAGTGCATTGTTTCGAACACCCTAACTTTGTTTAGTTTTCTTATGATTTGTCTGTTAAGCTCCGTAAAATGCATATTCTGATTACGAGAGCTTTTTCAGTGGTTTGCAGGTGCCATGTTCATTGTCATCGGTGTAGTTATCCTCAGCAAGTCTAGCGTAGAGAAGATGGAAAAGACTGATTAAAATTTTTACATTAATGGTGCTGCATTTCAACTGTTACAACTTCCGGGTTCTTTTGGAATGGAAGATCATTCGAGAAAATTGTTTTAAAGAATCTCTCATTCAGTCATCAACCATCAAATTGTTGGTGCTATGAGTTAACTTTCTCGGCTATATGTTTTTTGACGACTAAAGAGATGTTTTTCAGTTTCAACACTGAAGTTAATCGGTCGGATTCACAGTTTTCACCATCTTCATTTGTATTTGTCTGGATATATAACAGTCAGTTAGAGACATGTGAACAAAGTTGAAAGATCTGTGATAATCACAGATTTGGTTGCTTTTGTTTCCGTTGCAGCATGCCTCAAGTTTATTTTTCTTGATGAACTACCATTTTCAATTGCAGCAAAAATGGGACTTAGTATTGGTCTCCGTTCCACTATGAGGAGATCTAAGGATTTGAGATGTCATACAAAGTTTCTTCCATGTATTGTTCGATGCGGATCTTAATTCATAAGATTCGAACTCGAGATTTATCGACTGTATGGACAGTGTCCTTTCAGTCTTCAATAATAGTATTCTTTCTCAGTAGGTGAGAGGGATAACCATGCATCGCCAGTTACAGATGCACAAGTTTTCCCCAATCAGAGGTTACATTTATGTTATTTAATTTATCAACTATTCTTTCTTATAAAAGAAAAGTCGGAATTGATCCGAATAACTTAGGCCAATTTTATAACATACTATGCATTTTTATCATTTAATTATTTTCCCAAATACTCAAATTTTAGTGCAAGCTGCGGATATTTAAGTGCAATTGAATCACCATGTATGGAAATAAATTTTACCTTGTTTTAAAAAAAATTGTTAGTTAAGTTTTGGTACAGTAAAATATAATCTATCTTACTTTTTTAAATTATATATATATATATATATATATATATATATATATATATATATTGTAATGTACAACAAAATAGATTAGCCTTACCTGATCGGTCGACTGTAATTCACAGGTTAGGTTTTTAGCCCACCCTTGGAGCGTGAGGAGACAACAGTGGAAAATCACGGTCTTTAGGACACAAAACGTAAGGATAAATTCCTTTGTATTTCCTTCTTCGACTCTTCCTTTCCACTGGTTTTCCCAACTATTCAGAATTCCATGTCTTGATTCCCATATATTTCCTTTGAAATTCTTCCACTGGCAAGCTTCTTCTTCTCTTCTACGCCGACTTTTTTTTCCCCTTTAATCGTCAATTTGGCTTTCAACCCATCTTAGTTATGTTTAGTTTTAGTTGTTTCCCGCCTTTTCTCTGCTGGTTTTGGTTAATTTTTTTGTGGTTGCTGCTTTGAGAGAGCCGGGGAAGAGTGCTTTCACAAGCTCATATCTTTCATTTCTAGGGTTTTAAGTTCTTTTGTGTGCGAATTGAGCTCTTTAAAATAGCTATGGGAGTGAACTTATTGATATATTAGCTCTTCAACTAAGAGTTGTGTGATTATTTTCTTTCTTTCTTTTTTATTTATTTTTTAATTTTTTGGTTATAGCTTAGGACTAGAGATGCTTTATATATGTATGTGTGTGTGTGTGTGTGTCTGTGTGTACTGGCTTGTGGAAGAATCAGGTCTTTTAGCTGTTCATTTAGTATATTGTACGTTTATTCAAGTCTTACTCAAAAGTTTATCTTTCATTTTCTCACTTTCAAACAATTTTGATGTAGTATACTTGCATTGAATTTGAAATCGATATTCAACACTTCATCGTTCATTATTAACGCCTTGAGTTCTTTGTATGAATTGATATAATAGAAAAGTGGCCTCTAGATATGGGAGGGAGATGTTTTTGCCTCCAAAGCTTCTACTTTTGAACTCTTCCGATTGATGTGGTAATGTTGATTTGTTGGTGGCTATTCGGGGGGTTTTATACTTGTTGACTAAACTAGGAAATGATTCTCATGGAACTGATGGAATTCGTGCTACTAAGTGAAGAATAGTCCATTTATTAAACTTTTGTTTCATTGTTTTCGGTGATGTATAATGTATTCATGCATCAGTTCTTATTCAGGTAAAATTGACTGTTGAAGGATGTGGTTTTGTCCCTCATACAGCATTTTCGATTGTAAGATGTTAGCATTTTCCGAGGGATGATATCAGTTGTTTTCCTGAAAGTAATGGATTAGTCCTCTGCTATTAATAACATAATCTGAATAGTTCCCGTTCCACCTTTCTGCTATACAGGATTTTCTGCCCCATAGGGATGTGATGCTTACTTGACCGAATACCACCCTCAGAACGAAGTTTGAGATTTTATTTGTGGATCTTAACAGTTTCCTGGAGTCTCCGATGGATGATGGTGGGCATCGTGAAAATGGAAGACTTAAAACGGATCAGTATAGAGCAGCTCAGGGACAGGTATCTCGAGGCTGTTTAATTTTGCAAATTATAGATATTTGAACTGATGTAAAATGACATAAATGAATCAACTTCCCCTCTGCAATTAATGTGTTCATTTCAGCATTTTCTGAGAACGTCTGCCAATGATGATGACTTTTATGAGGATTGTTGTTGCAGTGGCTAATGCATCAGTCATCGATGAAGCAGATAATGGCCCTTATGGCTGAACGAGACGCAGTCATTCAAGAAAGGAATTTAGCTCTTTCCGAGAAGAAAGCAGCTATTGCCGAGAGAGATATGGCATTCTTGCAGCGAGATGCAGCAATTGCTGAACGAAATAACGCAATAGCAGAACGTGATAATGCCATAGCGAATCTGCAGTATCGAGAGAGCTCCTTGTCATCTGGTAATATGTCCTCTTGTCTGGCAGGGTTCCATATGTCCCGTGGGGTGAAGCGCATGCAACATCCACAGCAGAACATTCACCATCTGCCCCACATTAGTGAAGTTCCTTATAACTCGAGAGAAATGCATTCAACTGATACCCTTCCAGTGACGCCAGGTACCTCCGAAGCTGCAAAGTCAAGACGGGGTAAACGAGCAAAAGAGGCCAAGGTGATTGCACCTAACAAGAAGGCTTCAAAGCCTCCTAAAAAGGTAAAACAAGAGAACGAGGACTTGAACAAGATTATGTCTTGCAAGTCACACGAGTGGAAGGGTGCACAAGATGTGGGTGGTGCCGGTGATGATCTCAACAAACAGTTAGTTACAACAAAACCCGATTGGAAAGGTAAGGATCTAGGGTTGAATCAAATTGTATTCAATGAGTCAACCATGGCACCTCCTGTTTGTTCCTGCACCGGAGTCCTAAGACAGTGCTACAAATGGGGAAACGGCGGATGGCAATCTTCATGTTGCACAACTGCCTTGTCGATGTATCCTTTGCCAGCAGTTCCAAACAAAAAGCATGCCCGGATCGGTGGTAGAAAGATGAGTGGAAGTGCTTTCAACAAGTTGCTTACTCGGCTCGCAGCTGAAGGTTATGATTTGTCCAATCCTGTTGATCTTAAGCACCATTGGGCCAAGCATGGGACAAACCGCTACATCACCATCAAGTAGGTTGTTTTTAACCAGATGCGAATCGGAAGTTATGGAGAACTAGCGAAGTATCGGTGTTCATGTTTCCAACCTTAGCATTCTAGGAGTGTAGGAAAAATAAATGACCCAGAAATAACCGTAGTAAGGAATACTAGGTGGGTAATGCCAACTTAAATTCGGGTTTACTTTGAAAACGGCCTCTCTGATATCTCACACTTGCTATCTGGCCTCGATATGTTCCATTAGCAGACTGGTATTTGAAGAGAAGATAAAGGGTATCATCCAATTTCTGGGAAAGTGATGGGATTCTCAACTTGCCGCTATGTTAGCTTATGGCTCTACTTAGTTGTAAAAGTATTGTGCCTGAAACGTCTTGTTTACTTTAATGAAGTTTCAGTTTATTAGCTTAATCCACCTAATTTTCTTCTCAGGTAAGCAGGATGACAAGTTTATGCTTTTGCCACTGTTCTTGAGAGTTTTTACTATTTCAATAGATATGAGTATGGGGAGTAAACCTCGATTCGAAATAATTAGTTTTTCTTTTTCATTTTGAGTTATTTGTATTTGAGTTAACTCGAATTAGCAAATCTGATTTTGGGTTCGAGTTTGGTTGAAAATTAAAAATTTCTAGTCGATTGGAAAACCAAAAATTTAATCGAGTCTTTTGATAGTTTTGCGATTGAATCACACATTTTAAAACAATTTTAGAATACTTATGAATTTTCAATTTCTTTTTTGATAATAAATTTCTTAATTTTTAAATTTAATTTCGCAATTTCACACGATTTCTTTTTTATATAATTCATCTTTCATTTTTGTCATTTTTAAACAATATGCTCCTCTACTACTAAAAAACACACTATAATTACAAAATACTCATGTAACTTTATTTTTTATTTTAAATCATAAATTTATTATTTTTTTAATTTAATCCTTTAATTTTGGAGTTTATTCAGTTTGATCTTTTGATTATAATTTTCTTGTAAATTCTTTTTTCTATCTATAGACACATTTCGCCCGGAGTTATTTTATATTTTATATTATATATATATATATATATATATATATATAATATAATTTTCAGAAAACGGTTTTCAAAAATATATATTATATAGTTTTTAAAAACGCTTTTAATATATATATATATATATATAATATAGTTTTGAAAACATTTTGAAAACATTTATATTATATAGTTTTTTTGAAAATTTATATAACATATAGTTTTGAAAATGTTTTGAAAACATTTATATATTATATGGTTTTTATAAAATATTTTGAAGATTTATATATAATATATAGTTTTTTTAAAACATTTTTGAAAACATTTATATATTAAATGGTTTTTCAAAAATATTTTGAAGATATATATAATATATAGTTTTTTAAAACATTTTTAAAAATATATATTGTATAGTTTTTTAAAAAAATCATTTTGAAAACACGTATAATATATAGTTTTTTGAAATTTATATATTATATATTTTTGAAAATATTTTTATAGCATATTATTATTATTATTTTTTATTTCACTTCTATTCATTTCTTATTTTTATTTTTTATTGTTGTTTTCAGTCTAGAGCCCAAGTCCAGTCCAAATAACGGGCCTGAATCAGCCCAATAGTAGTTTAGGGTTTTTTGCTTAGGAGAACCACACAGTCAGCGCCGCGCAAGGAGGGAATCAAAGGTCCTGGTGCAAAACGGCCGGCGGAAATCCCGAGACTGACCCATCCCGGGATGACCAGCCTCAATGGCCACAAGAGCCCCGTATCTCGGAACAGACAAACGGCTGGTGAAGGCCTATAAATACCAAACAGAACCACAGTGACGAGGGTTCCATCATCGAGAGAAAACGGTATACACAGGTCATCCACAAACCAAACAGTAAACCAACGGAACCAACGAGTACATCAAACAACAACAGAGATATTAACAGCGAAACACAACCAAAGGCAACATCACAAAACAGAAACCACAGAAAATACCAAAGGTCGAAGCCCCGCAAAAATCCAAGCAAAATATAAAACAAAGCAAAGTCAAGAGACCGCGTCGGAAACCATAGAACCGAGGAGTCATCATCGATGAAGGTAAAAAGTCGGATCTCCGGGCGTAGATTTACGTTGCTTGGGGTCTTTTTGTGAGGTTTGGGGCTCAGATCTGGGACAACGGGGTTAAGGAGGGCATTGTGGGTGGTTTATATCGGTGGCCGGTGTTTGGCCGGGAAGGGCTGGCTGAGAGAATTTGAGAACTTCTCTCATTAGAGGGGAGAAGGATTTTCGGTGGAAATGTGAGAAATGAATGTGATAGAGTGTTTTGGCCCATTTATATACGATGGACCATTGTGCAAATAGAGGATTTCTAAATCCTCTCTGCCGTCCCTCGTACTTTGATCCGCTTTGCAATGCAGTCACCAATTGTAATTTGGCCACTATATTTTCAATTGATTCAATTCGGTCCCATTTTATATTTCACATTTTTTGCAATCTGACCCCCAAATTCTTATTTTATTTATTATTATCATGTTTTTAATTATTACTAGCATTGTTTATTTTTACTTCATATCATTTCTATTTTATTACTTTTGAAATAAATTTTTTTGATTTATTGATTTATTGATTTTTATATTTTTATATTTTTTTATTCATTTCTTTGATTTACCTTTATTTATTTACTTTTTTTAGTCTTTATTTCCTTTTCTTTCATTTTATTCCTTTTTTATGTTTTTATTACTATTATATATATATATATATATATATATATATTATTTTATGCTTTCTCCCTTTTTTTATCTACTGTTCTTTTTGCCTTTTTCAGTAATAATCTCGATCGATCCAAGGTAAATAATTCGAATTTAATGTTTTAAATTTTAATTTTAATTTTTAATTTTCGCAATTAAAGACAACCGAAAAACTAATTGGTACCGAAAGGGCGGTTCAAGGGTGCTAATCCTTCCTTGACCGTAACCGACTCCCGAACCCGACACATTTATGGTACAACGCATATCAGGTAAGATGGTGTCCGACCCACCTAAATTCATTTTAAAATGGTCGGTGGCGACTCTAAAGCATTTAATCCAAGTCGAAGCCCAATTCCGGGGCCCACCCGAAGGACGACCGCGACACTATCAATTCTCTTTGATTTATTAAATAATATTATAATGTAAACAAGAATGTGAAGAAATATATATCTTATATGATTAAAGAAAGTTGATAAATTAAAATTAATTTATATCATAATATTATAAATAATTAAATTAAAACTGTATAAAAATTCGAATAACTCGACTTGACTGAAATTTTATAGTTAAATAATGTTTAAATTATAAAATACAATTGTCAACCCCACTAATTTGACCAAATATTCATTCCAAGATATAATCACAATCATGATTATAAATTATAACATTTATCAATGGCTTTCAATTGCATTACTCAAGACTTGTAAGGTTAAATGGTTGGAGACCCCATTCTAGAGACAATTTTATGGACTTACTTCACATTGTGGACCTAAGCTGACTATGGCCCAGCCCAAATTATTTCTCCCTGCCTAAATTTAGCTTTACGTATCTAATTAGTCCCTCAACTTTTTTTTTAGATATTTGAACTTTGTATTAGCTAAATAATTATATATATATATATATATATTAATTTAAAAAATAATCATATAAATATCTAGTTGGAAACTCTATTCTTTTAAGATTAGTTGGTATTTGAACTTGAAAATATCCACATACATTAATTTAACATTTTAATTCCATTAAAATTTTATTGACATATCACCTTCAACTTATCAATCATTGTACGTGTCAATTTTTAAAGACAATTGAAATTAATTAATTGATTAAAAACATGATATCCATTTATTAATTGAAGGCTACACATAAAAAATTTAGTGAGACTATTTTTTTTATTAATATATGTTAACATTTTCAAGTTCACATACCAACCATGTACCTAACATCAAGTTTATATAAATGAGTAAAAAATGGAAACAAATAGTTATTTAAACCTAGTTCTAGAACTAATTCCCCATAATTGATCCTCCTACTTTAATTAATATTTTTAAAAACTAAAATAAATTACTCAAACATATAACTATTAAGAACAATAATAATTTCTTTAACTACTAAAATAAATTGGTTCGTTTATTATTCAACTTTAGTGTATTTTGCTGGTTTATGTGTTGAAGTTGAGCGTAAAAGGTGAAGAAAGATTGGACTAATTAACAAGAGTTGATTAACCTGAGCTTAAGTGCCTAAACTAAGTAAGAATATCGTTGTAGTTATAAACAATTATTAATTAAACTTTCGGTGGTGTCCCACTTTGGATAGATATATGTCGATGTTCGTTGTAAGTAATGGCATGCCACTTGCAGCAGCCAAACATGGCATATGCCTTGATCAGGTGCGGCCAGCACCAGTCAGACTGGATCATGTGCTCCTTCGCATCATGCAACATGCTTTTGCCACCTGGAATTCAACGACCACATTGTCAACGGTTTGGTTTGTGGTTAGATAAACATAAACATCATCATGATTCATGATATTATAACTGTAAGAGATTTAGATATCAAGTTGCGACAAATGTGAAATTACTTAATTTTACAATAATTTAATTTGAATTAATATTTTAATAAATGGATCAACGATTAATATAGATACTCTTTTATACATTATCGGTTGAATTATTCTCAAATAATAACTAACATGATTTACATTCAATATAATGATCAAATAAATAAAAATCGTAAAAAAATAATTCATACATAATGACTTAAATTGGTGTAATCATGCACTTTTGGAGTGATCTTATTAACTAAAAAAATACTTTTTATGATAATTTAAATTCGAACATATTTAAATTTTATGAGTATAAATTTATTTAGAATTTATAATTTGATTCAATAAGAACTACATGGAACTAATAATTTAAAAATATCAATGACTTAAATAAAAAATGATTTTGAGAGTTTTTAATGGATTACTGTAGGAGGATGGGTGTAGCTATTATTGGAGGTATATGTCATGATTACCAGACAACAACTTATTTGATGTAAGATCACATGGCTCCACAATGGTATATAGGGGTCAATTCAATTACATATTTAGAACATAACCACTTTAAGACTTATTTTATATTAATTATGTAAATCCAAATAGTTTCATTAAAAACATTTTCGT